GATCCCCATGGGGCAAGGCTGTGGGCATTAGTGTCATGATCAGCACACCAGGAGACAAGCCCAAGGGGACTTCTGTGATAGGCCCCTTCAATGGGATAAAGGTGCAACGGGTTATAATACAGCCAAGTTAAAGAACAGATCTGGAGATAAGCAATTTAAACATTTTTCTTGAATAAGACAGAAGAAAACTAAGAACTAGTCTGGAAAAAAATCCCAAATATGGGAGTAGGAAAAAAAATCCTGGCTATGTCCTACTGTGGCAGTCAGCAATCATCTTGGAAAAGAACTTTAGTTACGTACCTGCTATGCTCAGGTTCCTTTGAGAGACAAAGAAATTATTGCAGACTTTGGCTGCTGGCTGTGTCACCTTCATAACTATTTGCCATCAGTTAAAAGCAAAGCATAATATATGGATGGGCAAAGCCCAGATCTACATTTTTGAGATTGGCAGACTCTTCCGGGAAGACTCTGCAGTAGGGATTAGGTGACAGAATCTACAAAGTCCAGAGTGACCTGAAGGAGGAAACAAAAATAGGAATGGAGAACAAGATGTCTCAGCCTGCAGTGCCCTTGTAAGAAGTCCAAAATTGAAATCAGTTACAAATGCATGGCCCAGCTATAGCAAAGGGTAGATTCCCTCCTCAAGTAGAAGGGAGGGGCTGAAATGAGTCAGAGTTGGAATCCTCTCTTACTCCTACAACATTTTACGCAAGAGGCCAAAGATGGAGGGGAAAGCAACTATCCCCAGGAACTCCCGAACACCATCAGGCAATGCCTACTGGAAAGATGTGTGTAGCTGCTTGTAAGATGGAGTAAAGTGTTTTGCTTTTTTTAATCAAACATTTGTAGGGTTATCTACTGGAGGACACCAGGACCAAACATACAATCTAGGGTAGTTTAAAACATACAGAAGAGCCAAAAAGACCTATGCAGTGTTCTAAATTTGTATCCTCAGGAAACAGGAGGAACATTGGAAGACCATAGCCAGAAGCTCTGCAGTGAAGCCAAGCAACAGAGTAGCTTTAGAGATAATACTGGTTTCCTTGGTCCACTCATTCCTTGTTCATGGTTTTGAGAATAGGGACTCCATTCCCCAGATAGAATTCTTTTGCTTAGAGTCATGGCACATTTGGCACCAGAGGTAATATACACCAGCAGAATCCGGTCAGAGTGAGAGATGGGGTTGAGAGGGGAATTTTTCTAGAACCAGAGAGACGACAATGCATCTCTCTGCATAAGCTGCCTGAGCGCCCTCACCTCAGAAGATGCTTCTGCAATCTGATTTGAATGGAAGAGTACCTGGCTGCACACGCACTAAAGTAAGCCAAGCTCAGGCTCCGTG